TTCTCCACGGAGCGACCACCCCATCTTCCTGGAAGAGCTGGCTCAAGATTCTTTGGCTGTGGACCAGCTGCCTTCTTTCCTGAGGAGGCCCCTCTCATCTTACTTCTCTGCATATTGCTTCGGGATGGCTTTTTGAAGTTGTCTTCTTCTGCAGATTGCTGTCCACGAGTTTGAGAACCCTGCTTTCTGGAACTCATTCAACCCTGTTTTTATTCCAACCACTGTAATATATAAAGTATTTTATTTGGTGGTTTCCTATGGCAACCTTTATGCTACATAATGGTTCATGAGAACACAATACGTGCTAACTCGCTTAGAATTTGGATTTCAAAGCCTATTTCAGGAACGAATAACTTTCTACCTCCTCTCCCCTCTCTGATCCTCACAACCACCTGCATCCCACCCAACTATTCATCAGACATGCCTATAAATTAGCTTTTTGATGCCACTTAAAAGACACTAATTTTACGGGGGAAAAGGGAATTACATAGAAAAGAAATCACAGGAGGCAGCAGAACTTGGGCAGTGCAAACATGCATATAATCTCAGCACTCTGGGAAGCTGAAGGAGGAGGATCATGAAGTTCTAGGCCAGCGTGGGCAGCGTAGTAACTTAAGGAGGCCTTTCTGAAAATAAACAATGTAAAACAGGATGGGAATGTAGCTCAGTGTGAAGGCCCTAGAATCAATCACCAGTACTGGAAAAGGCAATGGAACTTAAATCAAAGACTTTAGAATAAAAAGAATGACAGAGATTAACTTAGTCAACAGGAGGCAAATGAGTAACAAAGGTTTATGTAGCACAAATGGGGCAGAACGAGGCTGATAACAGTGAAATGAACTTATATGAAAGAATACAGTAAGTAACTAAAGAAGAGGGAGAAGTAATGACATGGAAAACTGAATATGTCTATAATTTCAAGCCAGAATAATACGAATTAATGTAGGCATAGATTTTTAAGAGTTAGGAACAAAAGTAATTCATCCTTTCATTAGCCTATTCAGTTAATCATCATACATTATTGTACATCTGCTTTTGGACAGATACTATTGTAGGCATTAGTGATTCAAACATCTCTAATGACAATTATAATACCACTTTCAATGACCGCTTGCCAAAAAATGATGTGGGAGAAGCCAATGATGATCCTCAAGTTTTGGGGATGGCAATAAGCTCTTTAGTAGCATCACCAAATGAGCTGGCATTGGTGAGAGGAAACCAATTAAAAGGAAAAGTTTAGTACTGGACTTATTACATGTATGCTGTTAGGTTAAATGTATGAGTAAAAGCTCAGGTGAAAGGTGAGATCTAGAAGTACAGATCTAAGAATCAGTATTATATAACAAGTAATGCTGAGTGTCAATGAAATCATACAGGGAGAACAGAGGTAGAATTTCAAAGTTTGAAAGTAAAACCTCAGGTAAAAAACTTGAAGGGGTGGGCAGAGAAAGGCCACAAACAAAACAAAAATGCTAAGAGTAGCCACTGCACCGTAAGGAGAATGTTACTGTAGAAATCAAACAAGTTGACTTTCAGAGATAATCCACAATGAAAAAATGAAGCAGGGAAAGTTAGTAAGATAAAGATGCAAAACTAGCCTGCTGGTCATACGATGTGACAAGAAACAACTTCTTTGACTTACACAATCTTCCTTCTTTCCTTTCCAAGAACTGCAAATAATTTCCCAAGTGGAATCTTACAGGTCTTCAGGGTGGTCTGGAAGGATGAAGTAGAAGACACAACCTAGAAAGGAAATCAGGTATCTGCAATGAAGAACTTTTGTAAAACCAAAGAAAAAAATTACATAGTTTATTATAGAGCCAGGAAAGAAAATACAAGAGTCCTGTTTGTCATAGACTTTTACTCCAATTAGTCTCCCAGTGTTAAGTTATGAGACCTTGCACACTCAGCCTCATCTATGATTATGGCAATTTTTTGTAGTGCTGATGATTTAGTCCAGGACTTTAGCACTATATCCCAGGACTTTAGCTATATCCCTAGCTTTTTTAAAATTTTGAGATAGGGTCTTACTAAGTTGCTCAAACTTGGTGATTCTTTTGCCTCAGCATCCCAGAGTGTTGAAATGTCGGGCATGTGCCACCATGCCCAGAGACCAATTATTTCTAGACTTCATAGGCTCTTTTAAAAATTTGATAAATTTGATGTGCAATGCTGCATAAAGAGTCCAAAGGAACAGACAACCCAAGTAGGATTAAGCATGTCTCAAAACACTCCTTATCAAAAGCATGAACTCATTTGTATTTTAAACATGTTTGTTTATAGAAAAATCCAGCAAAATAAATTCCAGCATGTCAAAATCAGGGTAAACTGAAAAAGGAATGAGACTGGCCTTAAGCCAGGTTTCTCTTTCACCCAAAGCAGCCCACCAATCACGATCCTTTAAGATTGCACAGAAGTTCTCAGACAAGCCCCAACGAGGCAATCTGGCTGTAACCTCAACAGTCTAAGAGGCTGAGATAGGAAGATTCCAACCCCAGCCTGTGTAACTCACCAAAAAGGGGGAGGCCCGGTGGAATACAGTTCAGCGTGAAGGCCCTGGGTGCGATCCCCAGTATTGCTAAATTAACAAAGACATACTAGAAAACAGGGGCCCTGATTCAGGAGTGTTTTAGAGAAAGGCCTAGTTGCCAATAATACTTAGCTTCACTGAGCAAAAGGCATTCTACAAATGAAAAGAGCACAAAACTCTGAGCAGACAGTAAAGAGTAACACCAGCCTGTATAGCATCAGAACCTATGAATATAGACTGACCCTGTAAGATCAGAATCCTTCTGGCTAAAATGGATAGACAGCTCTTAGGAAGGTTCAGATACTGGTAATAGTGGATGGTGTCATGACATTCTATTTTAAGCCATCATTCTTACAAGATGTTAGTTTTTTAATAAAAGAATTCACTGCAACTGGAACAGTCAGGTGTCTGAGGTTACCAGAGAATTTAATATAAGCAAAATCCAGAAATCCATCTTGGGGGTCATATAGTACAGAGACCCCACACAAGAGATGGCAGTTAAAATACCACCTACAGATTGCTTATTACAAACCAGACTGTGTAAAACACATAAAAACAATGCTGGGCTAGCTAAGAACTATTTTGAAAGCCAGAAATGTTCACAGGCAATTCCTTACCCAAGAAGTCAAGAATGACAGCTTAACTTATTGTGTATCTTTGCTACTGACTGCATATGTAAGAAAACTACAAAAAGCTCATCCTCTACAAATTCTTCTGTGATTTATGTAAATTACTATGCTGAATCCAATGTCTGACATGGCTATAAAAATATACTTGCAGCATTAGCCAATGGCTGCTTGGCTAATAAAGCCAGGAAGTTTCCTGAAGAATTGCCTCAGTGACTTTCACTTTTCATTTGAGTATTCTATTCTTTAAACCACTACTACCCAGGAATTTGGGGCTAGATATCCCCCAAAACATATTGAGAATTGAACCCAGGGCCTTTACACTGAGCTATAACCTCAGCTTTGTTTTTTAAAAGAATAAGGTCTCTATTAAGTCAGAGTTGCCCAGGGTAGAATTTTCTGATCCTCTTGCCTCAGCCTTTCAGACTGCAGGGATTACAGAGATTAAACCACCACTCCTAGCTGTAATACAAGTTTATGGAGACCTTCACTGTTACTCCATTTTGTACTTTTCTTCACACAGGCTTAAGACTGCCACATGGTTCCATGATACTGCTATGTACATTCTTTATCCATTTTCAAGTTAAAAATTTAAATGTGCCAGCTTCTTTCAAATATCATGCTGTTTACCTAGTGTTACTTCTTGCTCTAAATGCTTTTCTCTCCATCTCATTATTAGGAAAGTTCTGTCTCCTCTTTAAGTCTCTGCTAATTACTCAAGCCTGTTTCTTTGCTATCTCCAATATCAAAAGTACCTTAAGTATTTTGGGTTCCACGTGTTAGCTTTGCTTATGGAGCTAATCTTTTATTTCACTTTGCCAAAGGACTGTGCTCTACCTATCTTGCATCGTTTGTAGTGGCAACACTTAGGTTCCTGATGGGAATACAAAAAAAAATACTCCAATACAGGGATGTAATTCAACAAATAAAGTAGGCTCACAAATGAAATCTGACAGTTACTGATTCCCCAGCTGCTCCCCATCGGTCAGCTCTGAGGTAAGCCAGAAATTGGGAAAACACAGCTGTATGTTTGTTTCAAGTTTTCTACCTTTACTCTCATAATAAATGCATACCTAAACAGAGGTGAGTTTGCACTACTAAATCCTACATCTCATCTTTTATTTTTAAAACTATTGTAACTAGTAATTTTCCTGTATTAAGTTTATAACCTGTGAGTTCTGACATCTGAATTATTTTACTGAAAGGATGTACTTAATCTACTGTTACTCCCTCTCTGGAAAAACCACATTTCCCTGTAAGGTCCCCATTGAACCTAACCACTGAATTTGATTGGTTCTCATCCAATTCAGTTTGCAACAAGAATCATGGAAAGAATTAAGTTTGTGAACTGCGGTACCACTATACTTTGTACCATCTTTATTTTGCAAATCACTGAAGTATTTCATGCAAGCACGTTGGGGACATATTTCCTATTACTTCTTTAGGAAGCAGATTTAGTAGGTCAAGGTACAACAGTTTTTAGTGGTACTTGGGATCAAACCACAGGTCTCCTGTGAGAACACCAGGGTTATAACCCAAGCTGGAGGTATAGCACTTAAAGCTCTTTATACATTACCAAATTATTTTGCAAAGTTGTACCACTTAAGAATTTTGGGCTGGAGAGATAGCTCAGTAGAATAAGCGCCTGCCTGGCAAGTGCAAGGTCCCAAGTTCAATCCCTGGTACCAAAAAAACAAAGAATTTTAAAAGTAGGGAAGAAAATGTTAACCACACCCCACACTGACAGAGTCATTTCAAAATTTGTGAATTAGCTATGGAAATGGGCTCAATTGTTCACTCTTATTTACTGGCGGATGATATTGAAGACATTCCCAGCCTTCAGTTTCATTAGCTGTGTGTTCTTTTAAAAATGTTGTCTACTATCTACTCATACTTCTGCCCTTCAAAAATGCCCCTGTGAGATTAACAGTTCTTTAAATGTTTCTGGTATTTCCCCCTAGAGAATTCTTTTGGTGTCTTGTGGTCAGATTTTTATTTTTATGTAAGATACATGGCTTTCCCTGACATGTTTAAACTACAAAAATTACCTAAACTGCTGTATTTTTTACAGATTACTTTTATACATTTTTGTTGTTGGGGACTGAGCCTGGGATCAGGCTGTGTCTTGCACACACTAAGCAAGGGTTCAACCATTGGCTTACATTCCCAGCCTCACAGAAACTATCAAATATTTTCATTAAGATGAAGTTTTTAAGACTATGACCTATAGCTATCTACATCATCTCTCTTGCATTTTGTGGCATATTTATACCAAAAGTCATGCAAATATCTGAGCATGCTTCTTTACCATCTCCCAAATACAGAAACATTCTATATAGCATTCACAATAGTGTACACAACTTCAATTCTGTATATACCTTCACATAAGTAAACTTTAAAACACAATGTTCTAAATATATGCATGTGAATATATAACATTGATTTAATTTTCTTTTATAAATTTCAGGTGCATATTGCTCTGCACCATGCTTTTCTCACATTGTGGGTACTTTTATATTTCAATAGTACTTAATGTTCTGGTATCTACCTCTTGTACCATAATCTACTATGTACCATAATTTAACTACTCTCATGTTCCAAATGTTTGTTACATACTGTGACAGACATAATAAACAGTTACATCAGAGCACTAGGTAAGTATCTCTGAAGATATAGTGAGAGGAAATGCAAGGACTTGTATATTTACAAATCTGATGAGTTACAGCCAGATTGATCTCAGAACTTTTTAATTTGTACTCCCAGCAAAAAACATGGATGTTTGTTTTTCCATACCTTCAGCAATACTAGGTATTTTTCTGTTGTTATGTGTGTAGTACTTGTGATTGAAGCCAAGGGCCCCTCAGATGCTAGCCAAGCAATCTACCACCGCACTGTACATAAAGTCCTAAATACTTTCATAAAATAAAAGCTTTTGCTATTTTAACACACAGTAAGATATTTTCATTTTAATTTGTGTAATGCTAAACATTATTTCATACGTATAGGTCATGTATCTATTTCTTACATTTTTGTTCCCTTCTCCATTTGGTTGTTTGCTACTGCTTGATTTCTAATAACTGATCTTCTGCTTGGTTGTTTGCTGCCACTTTATTTGTTGAAAATATTTCAGGTGTGTTTATTGATACAAGACTATGTATATGTATACATTATATATAAATATATATGTACATATCTAACATCACACAAATCTAGCAATTTTTTTTCCTTTGTGACCTTTGACTTTATATCATTAGAGAAAATGCTTCTAAATAATGAGTAACTTTGTACATTATTTCTTTTTTTGTACATTATTTCTTGACATTTTTATACTTTTCTCCAAATCTCTAATAATCTTTTCCTAATATTTTTTTTTATGTATTTAGTACAGGGTCTACAGGGTTTCACTACATAAATCAGACTCATAGCAAGCCTCCTGTTTTCAGCCTCCCAAGTGCTGGGATTATAGGCGCGCAGCACCACACCCAGTCTCAGTCGCTGTCTCAGCCTGCCCTGAGGGTGGGGCCAGCGTATCACCAGGGTGTGGTATCCTGGTCCCTGCTACGCAGGCGCTTTAATCTGCTGAGCTATCTGGCTGGCCCTATTTCCTAATGTTCTTTTTTTTTCCTTTACTGCAAAGTCCATTCTTAAGGATTTGAAATATTATTTTATTTCAAAATAATATTTCAAATTCCCCGCTATGTCTTTTAAGGTAGTAATCTTCCCAAAGATTTCTAGTTATTTAGTTTTTAAAGGTCTCACCACTGTATCTGTAAGTCATCTGTTCCTCCACAGTGGTATGTATGAATTTTTTTTTTTGTACCAGGAATCAGACTTGAGACTTTGTGCTTGCCAGGGAGGCACTTATGCCACTGAGCTATATCCCCAGCTCATGCCTGAATATTCTCACTCTAGTATCTCACTGGTTTAAGGACAACAGTGTAATAGCATAAATGTTGGTTTGAGTGACAATAAAATGGGCACTGAGGATGTTTGATGCAGTACTATTTAAAGTACCAAAATACTGGAACCAACCTAAAAGGATACTTAATTGTGATTTGACAAATGCTATTTAAAAAATGTCACAGTGAAAAAAATCATAATTTTCTGAATGGATGCAAAGATATTGAAAGCAATTCATTAAATAAAAACAGCCAGTTGCAAGCATTACCTATAGAGACATCAAATTTGTATGCAGAAAAACACAACACATTATTATTCATACAAATTTTAAAGACAGGTTCAATCCCCGGTTCCGCCAAAAAAAGGACAGGAAATTTAGTAATCTAGAAGGAAACAGAGCAAACTGTGAAGTTATTAAGGGTAGAAAAACAACCAAGGGTAGTAAAAGAGAGGAAAGCTGAGCCTACTGTAATATAAACTGCTTATAAGATTTTATATATACATCAATTACATGATTATAAATTTTTAGTAAGACACATGTGACTTTTCTGTTAGTCACCACCGCAAATTGCATACTTTGTAGGTATACTACTCATACTGGTTTCCCTCTCTTTTGCTAGATTTTGCCCATCCTTCAAGGTGAAGTCTTTTTCCTCTTTGAGGTCTTTATTTCTGGTCATCCCAACCCGTGCTTTATCTGAGCTCCAATTGACCAAAAAGTGCACCTCCCTAACTTTAGCCCTTAATCATTGTCTAAATGGCCTCAGCTAAATGGAGTTTTGTGCCTACCCTTCTAACTTTTCTTCTACCAGGGAAGTGCCTTCCTCTGAAATCTAGCCTTCAGAAGGGATAAAAATAAAAATGAAAATACAGGGACTCCAAGAGAAAACACAGCTGTCGGGAGGCTGCAGAACTCCTTCACCTCTTCATGGCAAGCAATGGTCTATTTGGGGCCTTGACTCCAAATATCTTTTGTTTATGCAGGTGTCTGTCACAAATGAGTGTGAACAATTTCTACAGTTGGAATAAACCTTGAATTGGACATTATCAATTTTTCTTAGATCTTAGAGCATTTCCTTTAACACATGTCTTTTAGGCTGAACAAAGAATCATATAAAATCTATTAGCAAACCAAATACAGCTCCTGAAAATGTCCTTATAAATATGATAAGATACTTAAAGTCTTTCTAGATTTCTAGGACAAGCCAGAAGTCATAATTTCAGAATTCAGTTCTAGTAGTAACTGCTGCTTCTGGAAAACGAGAAAAACCAACAATATTATTTTTTTTACAATTCCAAAAACAGTACAAGTGTACAGACTCCACAAAAATATGCAAACACACTTCAGGAAAAGAAGAACAGTATAATGCTTTTGCAATACATGTTACTCTCATATGGCAAATCCTACAGGATGCTGTACACCACTAAACTCCTGATCCTTAGAAATTGCAAACGCATGTGCAGCAATCTGAATAACCAAAGTTTGAAGTACTAATACAATGATTCTATGAAGAAGGAACTACTATTATTATCAATTCTATGCTATTTTATTTTTGGTACCAGAAATTGAACTCAGGACCTTGCACTTACCAAGCAGGCACTGCTGAGCTATCCCTGGCCTCAATTCTATTTTATTATTTATTTACTTGATACAGGGTTTCACTACACAGCTCGGACTCTAGTTATTCTCCTGTCTCAGCCTCCCCAGTGCTGGAATTACAGGCATGTGCTACCATGCCCGGTTCCTTCCGGGGCCAGCACAGCATGCCGTGGTTCTGGGGTTCAGGGGCCCCGGGGCCAGCATAGCATGCAGTACCGGAGATCAAACTCAGGTTCTTGTGCTTGCCAGGCAGGTTCTTAGACAGCCAAGCTGTCTCCCCAGCCCTCAATTCTATTTTAGAAAGAAGAAAAGTTAGGTACAAAGTAAGTGTCATGCTCAGGATCATATAGCAGGCAGCAGAGCTAGGATTCTAATTTGGCACATCAGTATTTGCTCCCAATCACTGCACTATGCTGCACATGGAATGTCCCCCAAAGGAAAAACAAACAGAATATTTACATTTGTGGAGCTACTACAGAGGAACAATTTCTGTATTTTTTATTAAGGGTTGTATGATTACACAGCCCTCTGTTGTTTACCCATTTCCTATACTGGAAGCAGGAATGGATTTAGTTCCATCTTTTCCTTCTCAGAATTTAGAGTATTTTCCCAGATAGGACCTTATTAATCTTGAAGCTAGAAAGGTTATTTGGTACTATCTCATTTGAGAAATAAGGCCTGGAGGAGGAAGGCACTTACCCAAGACTCTGTAATCAAGGACAGTTCTGCAATCAGGATCAGATCTCCTGATCCTTACTGTATGCCAAACTTAGTTTTTCTGATGGTGACCTGGAAGGTCAAACAAAAGGACAGAAGAGAATATAAAAAAAAAAATGAAATAATGGTTTTCTTCTCTATCGGTCAATGCAATTTTATCACACACAAAGGAGGCCAGAGCTAACAAATAATAGACAAGTGTTTTGTTTTTTTTTTCTTTCTTGTGGCTATAGTTTCAAATTTGGTTTATTGTACACTTAACGAATTTTTGAAAAATACTTTCATTAAGGATAATTTCAAACTGATAAAAATGTAAAGGTAATAGTATTCCAAACCCACAGGAATCCATCAACCAGCTTCAACAATTACCAACTGAAGGCCATCTTGTTTCATCTGTAACCCCACCCACTGCTCCCCCCTCCGGATTTTTTAAGCTCACCAAATAGTCGACTTCTATATTATGAAAAATTTCTAACATATACCAAAGAAAACAGATGAATATAAGGCGCCTCATCTGCTTATCATTCAGGATAAACGGTTATAAATTTAAGGCCCTAATTTTATTTCATTTACACCCCTCCCCATTTCTCCCTACGGCTAGAATTATTTTGAAGCAAATCCTAATCAGCGTATTTTGAAGCCAATTCCAGCCATTATTTAACCCATAGGCATTTTATATATTTCCACAAAAAGACAATTTGAAAACATAACCACAATATCACAACGTCTAAAAAAGACATTAATTCCTTAAATATCATCAAATATCGAATCCGCGTTCAAATTTTCCCGATGCATTTTAGATTTTACAGCTGTTGTGGTCGAATCTGGATCCAAACAAGGCCTACTCATTGCATGTGGTTCATCTCCAGCTCCCTCTCCATCTCCCTTTTTTTTTCTTTTCTTTCTTTTTTCCTTTTTTTTTTTCTTTTCAGTACAGGGAAATTCCAAGCCCCGCTATTTTGAGGTGCTTATCAGGTTACAAATTATTTCATCGGTAAAGGTTAATGTTTTTATCATTAGTTTCTTCTAGAAAGTAGATATACAAAAGCACTATAATGTGCGTATTTACGCAATTTATATTTTTTCTCATTCTGTTACGCTAACATTTACCCCGATTAACAGTAGCTAGTATCGATAGAAGCGAGGCTTCACATTAAGTGACTTATACGCGCTACTACACAGTACACGTCTCTGAGGTAAATACTATTATCACCATTTTACAAACATGGAAACCGAGACACAGAAAGAACAGGAGCCTTGCCCGAGCTGGGCGTTGGCGAGCAGGAATACAAATCCGCCTCTGGCTGACTGGAAAGCAACAAGCGAATTCTATCTATACACCCGACGAAAAGAGGAAATCATCGACCCTCTCTCCCCACCCCCACCCCGAAACCTGAAACGAGAATCCAGCTCTCTCCAGCAGGACGTGTGTGCACCGCTGTCCCTCCAACCGCCATAGTAAATCCAGGTTTCTCTGGCAACTGATATCCATAGGCAGACACGTCACCTGGAGGCGGGCTTGTGCTCTGTAGCCAATCACGATCGTCTTCTCTGCGGTTTAGAATGTTCCATAACCAAACGATTGGATCACGACCCCCACGTCAGCAATGACACTTCGCCGCAGTAAAGGCGGGTGCTAGCAACCTGCTTCTTCTTGGTTAAGGAACACAACAAGCCAATCACCTTCCTTCTTCACTGACGATCCTGGCCAATGACGTTTGGCCTCTTAGGTTCTTAGCCCGTCCTCCCAAAGCGCGACAGCCGTTGGGTCATAAGTCTATAGGGCAGAGTGTTTCACGTGGCCTATTTTCACGACCCAGAGTTCCCCTGACCAGAGGGGCTTTTTTTTCTCTCTCTTCTTCAGGGAGGGATTATGGGTTTGTGGGGACCCCCCCCCGGGAAAGGAAGTGTCTACGTGGCTTGCTGAAATAGGATAGGCGGAAATGAGCTAAGGTTCCCGCGAGTGGGGAAGCGCGGGGTCATATCGAGGGCCACGCCCCCGAGGCTGTTGCGCAACTCTCGGGGAAGGACGAAAAAGGCGCAATGGAGGTTTTGATGTGTGTGCGAGTGGGGGGGTGAGTGGCGCGGGAGAATGGCGTTAGGGCTGGGGTGTGTATGCGCGGGCAGGCTTGCGCGACCGTGGGTTTGGAGTGTAAACGCGCGCCAAGCCTGTGGCGCCGGAGGTGGTGCGTGTGCGCAGGCGTGCGTTCCCAGCGTTAGGGTGTGTGTGGGAAAGTGTGTGTGTGTGTGTGTGTGTGCACGCGCGCGCGCCTGCCTGCGCATACGTATGTGAACGTAGAAGACCAGTTCTAAATTGGTTGTTTTATACTTTTATGTGTTTGAAAACTTTTAACAAAAAGGAAAATAAGGCAAAGTGACCGCAACATAAAGGACTTTTGTTAGAAATATTTCGGCATTCCATACTGATTTTAGATCCTAAAAATGTACTTTTCTCCCCACGTTTTTCTCTGTGCTTAAAGCATGCTCTAAGTTGCAGTCCTGCAATGTTTAGGAGCCAATCCTTCTCATTACCACATTAACAAGTCAAGGGAGGTGATGGCTTTCAGAGTCTTAACTATCCTTTTAGCCCTCACCCCATTTCCCGTTTTTGCAGACAAATCTAATGAAAATGCAGAATTTACCCTCCTCTAGGGGTTCCCCAGAATTTTGCAGGAGCTGACCCTCTCCTGATCTCCAAGCACTGTACAAATACGCACTGTTAATTTTCCAGAAAGTTCTCTGGGTGAGGTTTATACGTCTTGAGTTTACCACTAGATGCCGCCAACTCCCAGCAAAGGATAGGTGTTTTGTTCTTGGAATTAAAGCATTTTGCCCCCTGCCCCACTTGTCGAACACCAGAGAATCTGGGGATCATGTTATTTCTTTCATTCCTAAGGAAAAAATAGATAAATAAATACTGAACTGATGAAAAGCTTAACCCTTTTTTGTACACTTCCTTTTCACATACTCAGAATTCTCCCAAAAGAAAATACAGTACAGATGACTAGTCGTTCAGTAAAGATAGGTAATGCAGAGGTAAACGTTAAACCCTAGTGTTGAAAATGTACTTCTTTATAATTTTTTATCAGATATGTATATTTGTACTCTTTTCTACAGTGTGCTGGTAACCTTTATTGTGTCTGTAGTGTCAGAGACTTGTAAACTCTTATCTCACCACATTAGCTCTGTGATCCTGGGCAAATATATGTTGTGATTCTCACTTTTTGCATGTTTACTACGTTTTAGAAGCTGTGTTAATCCCTCAGATATTCTTATTTTAGTCACAAAAATTATATTAGACTGGTACCACTATATTAAATTCAAACAATAGAAATCAAACCTTTCAATTACCAATCATACCTAAACTAGTTCTACATACAAGGTGAGGAATATTTAAGAGTAGTAGCTCTCAGTGTTTTTTCTAACAGACCAAAAGCATCAACATCGCCTGCAACGGTGTCAGAAGTTCAGACTCTCGGGTCCCACCTCAAACCTAATGGATCAAAGTATTGAAGGGGAGTTTGTCAATCAGTGTTGCTACAGGCTTTTCCCAGTGAATCTAATCCACGCTGAGGTTTGAGAACCAGCTTTGAAGAGCAGGAATGTAATTCTTGTTTTTGCATGTGCCACTAGAGGGTGCTACAGAATGTAAAGCAAAATAATAAATGTTGTGTATGTTAAAGACACCCGGCATATTGGACAGATAAGGAACTAATGTTTAGAGGTGTCAGGTTATTTTTTCAGTTGCAACCAACTGTGGGGACCAGGATTAGTATTTGCTTGTTCAACCATAATGGCTTGTCTTTCAGAGCCTCAAAACACTATGCTTAAAGGTATCCCATTCTCTGCATTGGCGTATCAGGAGGAGGGTAGAAAAGCAAACCAAGTAAATGGTAATACATTGACTTTCATACCCTTTCTCCTCTCCATTCTATAATACAGTAACACATAATTTTCTCCTTTTGCTTTTAGTTTTCCAGTACTCTCTCCTCTTAGCTCTCTTTTTTCATTTATGTCTGAATCTCTTGATGTGATAGGTGAATAAGAGTGATGAAGAAACACATTTGCTGAAATTCTATTGTTGGCTACAGTATATTGCGGTATACCAGTTAATCCTAATAGACCTGTAAATTAGGTGACAGTTATCATTTGATACATGAGTTATAGAGTCTAATTATTTTTGTTTGGACATAAGTAATAGAGCTTGGATAATTCAGGTATAGCTGACCCTATTATCTTACTAAACTTTCCAGGCCTCTGTTTTGAATTTGGTAAGCCTTTTGCTATTTAAGTGACTTTTAACAAGTTCCCCAGCTTTTCCAAGCCTCAGTGTCCCTATATATTGTATTAAATGGAAACAGATATTTCTGCTTTACAGTTTAGAGCCACACTATCCAACACAGTATCCTCTAACACATGTAGCTTTTAAATTTTAATTAAAATTATGTAAATATTTTTAAAATTGAGTCCTCAGTTGTACTAGCCGCATTTGAAAGGCTCAGCATCTATAATATATATATGTATATATATACATATATATATATATATATATATATATAGCATGTACATAGTATCTATGGCTAGCAGCTACAACAGTCATACAGATATAGAACATTCCAGCCATCACAGAAAAATTCAATTAGATGGTGCTTACTAAGAGACTATAAGGTATCTAAAAGGGCAGGGTATGTTGCTTATCTCATGGTAGCATGGTAGGTGTCAAATAAAAGTGATTTCCTTTGCTCTTTTCTGCATCAGAACTATGGCTATCCTACTTTAATGATGGAACTAAGAGAGTGAAGTAACGAACCCAAAGTGTTATAGCAAGCAAGCCACATCTCCTGATGTGGAGATGTGTAGGAGAACGATTATTACACTTTATTGAGATTTTAAGGCTAAGGGCATGAATAATGTCAGTTAGTTTGAGTCAGCAGTAGCAGAAAAAGACATAGGAACTGAGTGCTCCCTTTGTGCCAGGCAGCAAAGTGTTCAGCTCTTTGCATCTGTCACCTCTCCAATTCCTTATTGAAGAGCAGGGACGTTGAACACTAATACCAAGTTGCTCAGCAACTAAATGGCAGAGAAAGGATTCAAATTTCTTGCTGGCTGTAATGCCCAGGCTTTCCCCTCTTATATCATGCTACCTTTTCTATACGAATAACTGTGAATATTTCCCTGCCATCTGTGCTTACTAGTGGGATAAGTGTGCAGCAGTTTCCTGATTTAAAGTAAGTTCTCTGAAAATGTGAATTATTCTTCAGAATGTATAGCCAAACCATTGTCTTCACAATTTGCTTCAATTGGAAGGCAAAAATAGTTTAGGCTTAATTTGGTTCGAAGGCCCAAAACCAAATAGAAACTATGGCCCCTGCCTTCACAGGTCACCTAAAGGCTCCGAGAAATCTATCTTAATTTGCAAGGCTATCATTAGCTCACACAATGCTTTGTTGCTAATTAGAAACACATGGCACCTAGGGGAGGCCAAATTGTTGAGAAGTGTCTACTGCAGTCAAACAGTCCTTCCCCCCTGCCCCAGCCACTGCAACTTTACCAGGGCATTTGGAAAATAAATTTCAGCTTAGATTTGTGCTCTGATAGTTGAGCACTGTTATGTAGGTTGTAGATCTTGTCTTACATGTGGCTAAGACAAGGTCTGGGATGTAGCACTCAGTCTGTTCTATGAACAACATAGACCTGTCCTAGGTCTAGGATGTAGCACTCAGTCTGTTCTATGAACAGCGTATACCTGTCCTAGGTCTGGGATGTAGCACTCAGTCTGTTCTATGAACGACGTAGACCTGTCCTAGGTCTGGGATGTAGCACTCAGTCTGTTCTATGAACAACGTAGACCTGTCCTAGGTCTGGGATGTAGCACTCAGTGTCTTCTAGAGGGTCAGGAGAGACACTAGAGTCCTCCCCTGGCTTTTGCATAGTGGATAAAATTTGCCAGTTGTAAGATTTAGTTGATATTTTGATAATTTGTTTCTGACTAGCAAACTGGATATTTTTAGAACAGTGTTTGCTTAATGTAAATGTTAAAAATCGTAATAGTTCAAGGCTAAGAAAAAACGGTATTTCTATTATGAGGATATATTACTAAGTGTATAAACCTGCTCATACCTGCTTCCCTTCCTAGGAATTTCATAAAACCAGTCCAGAATATTAGTCTAGATCAATCTAGTTTACTAGTATATAAAAGAGCAAAAATTGGAAAAGATAATAAAGATTTATCTTTTTAGAAGCATCTATACATTCTTCCCTCCAGTTAACCCCTGCCCCATGACTGACCCATCCATTTGATTGAAAGAGGTTTTTTCAAGTGTCTGAAAACACTGAAACACTGAACCTAATTATTGAAGTCCTTGCGTGACATTGGGATGCTGGACTTGTGCATTTTTTTTAACTTTCCCTTTTTTTTCCTCATTTATGTCTTTGGTACAGGGTCTCACTACACAGCTCAGACTCAGTGATCCTCCTGTTTTCAGCCTCCCCAGTGTTGGGATTACAGGTGTGTGCCACCACACCTGGACTTGGTCGCTGGCTCAGTGTGCCCCAAGGGTGGGGCTGGCGCAGCATGCAGGACAGGGATTGAACCCAGGTCCATGTGCTTGCCAAAGCAGGCACTTAGTCCACTGAGCTATGTCACTGGCCCTAACGTTTCCCTTTCTGAGTTGATAGTTCAGCATACAGGTTTCCAGATTCATGGTTTTGTGAATGACACACTTCATTTGGAATCATCATATGAATTTGTCCATGTAACACATCAACCAAGAGATGAAGACTATTTTCCACCTGTATTTGCTGATGCCTGTAATCGGGGCTTTGCCTCAAGAGGATGGTTTGAGCCTCTTCCCAGGGGTAAGTTTATTTATGCTTAAAACTTCTACCTATGGTCCCAGTTAAATGATCAAAGCATTTCCAGCAGTGGAAATGATAAAAATTATGTCCTTTAAAAATGTCAACTGGGGCCAGGGAGATAGCGCAGTAGAATAAGTGCTTGCCTGAAAAGTGCAGGGTCCTGAGTTTAATCCCCAGTACTGCAAAAAAACAAACAAAAGCAGTGAATTTGGGTTGAGGATATAGCTCAGTGGCATAAGCGCCTGCCTGGCAAGTGCAACATCCTGAGTTCGATCCCTGGTACTGCCAATAGAAAAAAAATTAAATAAATAAAATGTCAACTGTCATATTGTTTTTAAAAAGGAAAACAACACTTAAATTTCTATGTCTAAATTATTAAAGCATAATGATGGGTATATGGGATTTATTGTACTGTTTTTCCTACATTTGTGTATCTTTGAATGTTTCTAAGATAAAACAACTAAAAATAGAACATTTTAAAAATCATTTATCAGTCCTGGGGAAAGAATACCTGTGGGTTTCTCTTTACAAGAGTACTTACTAGCCAAGGGTTGGTTGAAATACAGCCCTTCAGTAGAGAAAGATTAGTAAAAATGGAAATGGAAGTGGGGAGTTTAGATTTTAAAAACGTCATTGGTAGAAGGTCGGGGTAAGATTCTCCTCCTGCCTGCAGCACGTCTTTGTCACAGCCCATAGGAAACATCACTGCAATGAGCTACTGCTAGGGAAAGCTATGTCTCATATCCCTTTGGCATTTAGGAGTGGAGAGGGGTTGAAAACCGTAGCAAGAGGCCTCAGTTAATGAATGAAGACCATGTTAGCAAGGAGGCAGAAAACCACAGGGCAAGGGAATCTGGGAACAAGAGACAGAACTAGGACTGTCATGGGACTTTATGTTTACCCAGGTAAGTACCGCAGAAGGCAAAGCTGCTAAGGAACGAAGTGACCAGGGAGCAGGATACATGACAAAGGCCCTTACTCAAGACTTTCTGAAATTCTTTTCTTGTTTTAGATGGGATCTCGCAGTATACTTCAAGCTGCCTTGGAACTCACCATGTAGCCCAGACTGGCCTTGAATTCCTGGTAATATTTCTGCTTCAGCCTCCTAAGTGCTGCGATTACAAGACTGTGCCACCACGCCCAGAAAGACTTTGGAAGATATCATGTCCCATCCGATTGACCATCTGAAAAGCAAAAGGCATGTACGTATGTACATGTGTGTGTGCATGTGCACACACAGACACATTTCTAAAGACATGGAACCTGACCAGTTTGCAGAGGCAGGTTACATAAAGTATGCACTGAAATTATGTGGCATTTTTCACTCCTTAGTTCTTATGTTTTTATTATGTGACTAATAAATGAAGGGTGTTTGTGTATTACCAGAAGTAAGCAGACTTAGTTGGAAATCTGGGAACTCTTGAGGGCATGGAGACCTCAGAGAACATGTTCTTTGAAGACCCTGAGTTTGAGACAAAATGGTTCAAAATTGAAGATAGAGAAAGAGTGTAAGAACAGTTCCGAAAAGGTACAAAGCTGAGATTCACCCAGCTGCTCCCAGGCCAGAGTTGTAGATGGGACGTCAGTGGGACCCAGGCGGGTACAGCCAGCTTTCAATAGAGCTGGTCTGTAAAAGTTGGCTGAGAGGACAGAGGATGATTGATGTTTGCTCCCGAATGGGGCTGTCAGCTGTGCTCACCGCCTCACCACGCTCCCAGCTGTAAACAAAAGTCCTGGCCCTTCATGGCACTGCAGAGCAGTCCAGGCTGGTGTAAGTCTCTGAGGACAGCTAGACCATTTTCTCATCCTGGATGACAACCAGAAGACAGAAGAAACAATAGAGCGCAGGGGTGGGGGCAGGATTGTGAGGGGATGAGAAGAAGCAACCAGTAGGAAGAAACTCAATTTCAGATCTTAGATCTTTGGATGCAAGTAGTAGATATCTTATGGGGGTAGCAGGCCAACTCCTTGTGTCAGCTTCACAGATAGTTACTAAAGGAGTCCGTCAAAGGCTCTAATGCAGCGATGGTGAACCGTTTAAAGCTTTTAATGACAAATAGCTAGCTACAGCATGTAGCAGGTTTGCCTCCTCTGCTCTAGTGCATCATTCATTCTTTGGCTAGGAATAAAAGGTACCAGGAATTCCAGTGGAGAACTAAGTAGTTAGTACAAGTGAGGCCAGCTTTGGCTAAGACAAATTAGTGTGCCTGGGATTTTCTTCACTTTACTTCCCCTCACAGTCCTTACTATGACTAACCCAGGCCTCTGGTCTCCCTTTAAATGTCACTTCCTTAGGGAGACTTTCTCTGTTCCCCAGGACCAAGTGGAGGATGTTCCTGTACGTTCTCATAGGACTTCCTACTTTCCCCTTTGTAATACACGACAATTTTCACCTGATGACCTGTTCTTTTTCTCTCTACAATTTGTTCTCCACGATGCAGTAAGATTTTCTTTTTGGCAAAATGCAGATCTGTTCCTCTGAAACTTTCCTACCCCTCATAACTTCCGTTTGCCTTGTCTTACTGGTCTTTCAGTTCCTTTCCCTCTTACTTTTTCTTCAGGTCACAACTTAACTATCCCTAGCTCAGGAAATCCTTCTATGATATCATCTTTGCTAACTTTTACCACAACTTGTCAGGCCCTTCTCTTACATACTTATTTCCGTAATGCTTGCACAGTTTCCCAATTTTACTGTTCTCCAACAGCTCAGTCCAAGTTTGTTTCCCCTGCCAGAATTAAGCCCTCTGAGGGTAAGAGGTGTTTCTTTTTTATTGTGTTTCTCCTATATGTAGTGTCTGGTATTATGTAGGAGATGCTGTAAAAACTTTGTTTTGTTTTTTGGGGTTTTTTTTGGCAGTTCTGTAACTTCATTTCAAAGTTAGCTCTCATCCATGTTCACTGTCTGGAGATTTTTGAATGTGGTAACAGGGACGTAGGTTACCAGGGTATACAGCTTGTTTGCTGAATCTTCATCCTTATTCCATTTCCTGGACAGTTGTACTCAGATACAATATGGAACATTCCTTATTCCTTTGGCCCAGCCAGCTTTGTTGAGCCAGGTATCGATTTGTGCATATCTGGAGTCCCCATCTCCTTCATACCAAACTTCCAGATCTCCTTAAGTGCCCGAGGGGCGTGCTTCTTGAAGCCCACTCTGTGGATGTGCTTGTGAATGTTGATTGTGTACTCTCGGGTCACCACCTTGTTAATGGCAGAATGGCCCTTCTTCTCACCACCCTTCTTTGCGGGAGCCATTCTGCTGGGTCCCCCAAAAATTGTGAATGAGTCCAAAGGAGATAGAGTGATATTCGTATGTGAAAGCCAACCTAAAAAATTGATCTAAAACTTACGTGCAAACAAAAACCTTTAAAAGTAATCAATTATGAGAGAAAAAAATCATGAGAGATCATAGATTTTTAAAAAATATTTTTCGTGGTGTTTGAGATCAAACCCTGTTCTTGTAAATGCTAGTCAAGTGCTATATCACTGAGCTACATCTCCAGCCCCTCAGAGAACACTGGATTTAAAAAAAAAAACAAATGACAATAAAACAAAATAACAAAACACAGAAAACACCAACCTCAGCTTACCCCAAACGCTTATAGACTCATGTTCAATCCCTTACTGTTCCTTTTGTGCTCTAAAAAGTGCAAGAGATGTTACTTATTAATCTGCCTAAGCTGAGAGATTGGCAGTATAGTCAAAGATGTGTGCTTCTCCATGTGCATTTCTTCATTTGGCTGGCATCCACTGCCCGTTGCCATGGTTCTAAGAACTGTGCTTCTCCCTGCTTAAAACGGTGTGCACAACTGAGTGAGCCTTTTATGCAGATCACTTACATGACAGCTTCAAATTTCTACTGAAGGGCTTTACCTTACATTGGTTCAATAAGAGAGAATTTTCTCAGTGGTAGAGCCTGCAAAGAACATCACTTTCAGGAGTAGACACTCTGTAAAACTGGTGACTCACTCAGACTCAAGGAATGGATACTTAGACCAATCTAACCAGCCTCTTTCTTCTTCCATATAGAGGTTAAATGGCCGGGTAGCGACTATCTGGAAGGGCGTCAGAGAATTGACATCCCTTAACCTTACTAGACTGGCATGAGTAATGCACATAGGCCACCAGCTTGCATGTCTTGTGTAAAACAGAGTAGGGGAACTAAAGGAATGATAGGAAAAGGAACCAGCTTTCCCAGTAAAATATAACAGCTACCCTATATCCCAGAGGAGGGCTGCAGCTAGACTGTAGCACCAAGAAATCTTCCAAATAGAGGACATAGTGCTCATATTAGGGCACATGTTAATGCCAGTGGCTTGCCTTCTTTTCATCTTTGATTTAGGTTTCAGTTGGCCAGGAAACTAGCAAAGTCAGATGTGAGAGAGGTGGTGCACAAGCATCCTTGACACACCCTCTTTCTTCCTTGATTGAAGGAAGGACAGAGTGAGGAATGCAAAGTAGGTGTACCTGCATTAGTAACTGGGCATGTATTGGTTGAAGAATAACATCAGCTGTGGTATCTGTGGTGCTTTGAAGATACATTTCATTAGCATTGACCTTCTCTCTCTCCCTTGAATCCTTTATCCTGAAGGTGGCTCTACCAGGAGAATCTTAG